CTGTCTTTCTTTAATTGTTCTATAAACCATATTTCCTTTTGTTCCATTCTTCATCACTTCTTCTCTCTTCCATTCTACATAAATCATTCCAATATTCTATTAGTGCTTCAAAAGTCTCTTTATTCTCCATTTTCTCATTGAATAAATTCTAAATTTCCAATTCAATTTCTGTGAACTTCATCTTTTGATTTTCTGTTTTAACTTCCAGAGCTTCAATTTCAATCCTCAACTTTTCCATTTCTAATTTTGTTCTCACCTTCTTTTCTTAATTTAAAATAGCTTCATTAATTTTTTCACAAAATTTGAAAGGTATTAATGGGGGATCCTCTTGAATTGCATTTTTCCATAATTTACTTAATTTTTCAGCTTTAAAGCTTCTTCAAAATGAAAACTTTCTTTCTTTCAAAACATTTCTTGTTTTAATGTTTAAATCACACAGAATATCTTTAACTTCTTTTTCATTTACCATTTCCTGGAGATTATAATTTCTTTCAAATAATCTGTTTCCTGCTCGAGTCCCTTCCAGTGAATCTTTTAATATTGCTTGCTGTTAATCATAACTTTTTGTCATGCATTCAATTAATTTTTCTTTATGCATCCATTTGTCAAAAGTACTCCTTAATTTCTCTAAGAAATCCTCAAACATTTTTTCCACTTATGTACTTAAATCCTTAAAGTTAATTTCTTCTTTGCCTTTTGGAGGCATCTTTTCAAGTAATCTGTTTTCAAATCTGATCTAACTTTCAAACATTATTAAGAATATACCAACAGGTATTCACCTGTGGATATGAATAAGAAAACATTGGAATATTAGACTTTTTTTTTTTATTAATTTCTTCTACCAGTTTTATGACTTCAAAGGTCACTCTTCAGGAAATATTTTCAATGAGAATCTGTAATTATATTGAATTATTCATTTTTGAGCATTTGTAATGTTCTTAATTTATACACGGAGCATATTACATATGTTTGTGCATTTGGAAAGTGTATGTATTTAATTTAGATTATTTATATTTATTTGAAATGGGGTATTTGTAAGTTTTTGTTATAGATTCTCAGTAAAACTATTTCATGAAGAGTGACATTTGAAGTCACGAAACTGGTAGAGGAAATGAATAAAAGAAGGAAAAAAAGTCTGATATTCCAGTGTTTTTCTTTTATATATATATATTATTGTTATTATTGTTTGCATGTAAATGCTTACATTTTAGTTATTTCTTTTTAACATATAGCAATAAATGAAAAATATATATAATTTAAAAAAAAAAAACATGATTTTTAGTGCTTTAATGTTAAGAAATCCACTTGAACTTGTGAGACTTGGTTGCTAACTCTTACTTGTATATTTTCTCAAACTGAGGTAAATACAATTTTTTTTATATTTTGTATATGCACTGTAGAAAACAAAAAACATGATCACTAATTAGAATAGGATATCAGAAAACCACTTTAATTTATCTGGCTTTCTAACTAACAAATAAATAGGCTAAAAATTAATATCTGTTGGGAGCAACAATTTTAATAAACATACTTCAGCAGTTTATATTGAATCTTAGTTTTCGTCATCATAAAATTGATAAACAACCATCAGATTTAATGATTTCATTATGAGTTTACTTACTGATGATAAGTATTATTTTATTTCAAAATAATACATTGTTAGATTGTTGAATGTTTATTTAAATGCTAAAACCTTCATTACTGTTAAAACTTGTGGATGTGAAAATGATCAAAATTGAAGTTGATTTCTTATTACCTGACATTTATTTTCTATAAATTAATGTTTTAATTTAATCATGTTATATATATTATTTTTTAATTGTTAACAGTCAAGATAATCATTAATTCTGAACATCAGTTAATTATTCTTTTTCCATAGACACTCCACGACGCTGCTGGATTCTTCACTGGGCTTTTTGGTGTGCTAGTGTTACTGGCATTTTTATGGTATTATTGTCTCGAGGACATTACACAGTAGATGTGGTATTGGCATATTTTGTAACATCAAGAGTCTTTTGGATTTACCATACTTTGGCAAATAATCACTTTCTAAAGGTAAATTTTTGCTAATAGTAATATATTTTACACAGAATTTTTAATAGTGTGCTAGGTATAAGAACCCTTAGTTCTTCAGTTGAATAGAAAACAAATAGGGGAAACTAACTTTGGATCAAGCTGCATTTTATCTTAAGAAATTACTGATGTCTTCAAGAATTGTTTGTTCTTATGTGAGTACAGCTTATGAGAAGCTTAATTTTAACAAAACACATACTGACTTCATCATGAAATCCCTGGCTGATGCTCTTTACTGCATGTTACATAATATATGAAAAAGTGTTTCATCATTTCTTACTATGGCAGAAAATAATTTCTTTCTTCATAGAATTCATATATGAAAACATCTTATATTGTTTTTAGAGTAAATGTTTTATTTTAAATTAATAAATTATACTTTAAAAAAATAGACCCTAAATACAAATAGAAAGGTTAATTAAACTATTATAGACTTCTATTGAACATAATAGTTAAAAAAAGAAGTAACAAAATGAAGTTACCTTTATTTATAGTCTATGGTGAGAAGACCTCCCAAGAAAAGTTTTCTCATTATAATTTACCTCCTCTGGGATCCAAATGCCCACCCATATGTTTGCTGTGCATGACAACTCTAGAAGGAGGGGTATCCTGGTGGTTGAGTGGTGTCAGGGACAATGCAACACACCAATTTTGCCTTGAATTTCTTTAGATGAGTGGCCCCAGGGTCATTCAGCTGGTCCTGTGTGGCTAGGGCCAACTGAGTGCAGTATCCTTAACGGGTGTTGTGGACACTGTTGTTTGGGTGTAGTTCCTATAAAACCCTGGCTTAGATGCACTGTCTTAGTTTGATGTGTAACGTGTCCTTTTGTAGTACTCCATGCTGGTACTGAATCTTTTTTCTCGTGGGTAATCCACAAAATGAAAATCGATTGGAAGACCATTTCACACTCACAATCTCCTGGCATTTCTGTACCTCACTTTCTGATTCTATGTTCCTTGTCAGAAAAATCTTAAGAGCAGATGTCTTCCTTTTTTATTCAGTAGGGATTAGAGGGGCTTGCTGCCTATCCTATGTTTGTCAAGAAGTTACAGCCTTGAGGACTTCTTGGGCAAAACATTTTAACCACAGATAGTGAATTCCTGTTGAAATCAAAATCCATCAAGGATATACCTATTGAAGCAACATTCCATGCTATTTTGAATTTCTTAAGAGGATTGATTGTTGAGAGGAGTTTACTTAATAATCTCAAGTCAGAGATTCCTACTGGTTTATCCAGCCAAAGTGTTTCAGCTTTACAATGTATCTCCCCTCAAAACAATGGTATAATGTAGCCTACCAATATTTTTATTTTGATGTTTACTTTGTCACGTTCACCTGCCAAAATTTTTTTCCATGTCTTCAGGTATAAAGTGTTAATATAACTTAACTGTTTTCTCTGACTAAAGCTATGTCCTAAGAAACATTTTTGTTTTTAAACTGGCTTTTTTATTGCCTCTACTCAAGGTTTTGATGTAAAGACTTGTACTATGATAACTAATATAGGTAATCTAAAATTATGGGGTATCATACTAGGAATGAGATATAATCAGAATCCTTTCTGCCTTGAAAGGTATGGCCTTATATTCCAAACCATGTCTGATGTTTCAAATGCCAGTAGATTGGACATTCTAAGATGTTTTGTGGTACTTTGACGTGTGTTTGTTGTGGTTGCAAAGGCCACAATAGCTATGAGTGTCAATTGGACCCACGTTTGCAAACAGCTTCTCTGTCAATGACTTTTAGATTTCCTGTCAGTTGTTGAATATGAAGTTTATTGAGCAACAGCCTCATACTGTCCTGACTCACTTGTTGAAGACCACAGCAAACAGTTTTCCATTCTTATAATTTAAAACCATTTGTATGGACATTTGCCACCAGAAGGGAATGCACCCTGATCCTGAACTCCACCTGCATGGTGCCATAATTCCTGTGGTGGCTGAAGCAATTTCTTAGAACCTTTCATTGATGGCCTGATGATTAGGGTGCTTAACTCATAATATGTGGGTGTTTGTATCCCCCTTACCAAACATGCTCGCTCTTTCAGCTGCATGGGCATTATATTGTAACAATTAATTCCACTAATCATTGACAAAATAATAGCCCAAGAATTGGTGGTAGGTGGTGTTGACTAGCTGTCTTTCCTCTAGTCTATCACTGCTAAATAAGGGACAGCTAGTGCATATAGCCCTTGTGTAATTTTATGCAAATTTAAAATCAAATTCTCATTGACTGCAGCTGCCATTTATTCCACACATTAAGTAGCTTCATGTTAAGTGTACAGGGGCGCTGAACATCCTTCTTGTCCGCTCTTCCACTTCTTGGAGAGTGGATAAATTTTTCATGCTGAATCTCAATCATGCCCTCATTCATATGAAGCTGGACTATGGATCTGTGGTTCAGCTAGGAACTCAGACTTGAAGATGCTAATCCTGTACATCATTAGGGGCTTTCTGCACTTCTCTGGTCCAGAATTTGTATACTGAATCCTATGAACCTCCACTGCATCTGAGACTTTGCAACTTTCTTTACATTATGCTGCAAAGCTCCAGTCCTTACCACAGCATCCCACCTGGCATTGTGTCTTTATTTCTAAGTTGGCTATGCTTTTTACCAATAAATGGTTTCTATTTCTACATTTGGCTTTCCTATTCAGGCACAGTTGAGTCATCTGATTGGGAGTACCTTCTTCTTTTTATGGAACATCTTTTGAGCCACTATTCTGCTTTCGATTTTATGGAGGGTTTGAAATTTGACGTCGGTGGGCTCTGCATTGGTTTGCTGTGGCTTTGTGTTTGCTCACGAGATCTCCTTTATATATTCTGTGTTCACTGCCAAATTGTATGTCATTTCACTTACCTTGGATCATGTAGAAGCTAAGCAGTATGCTAACTGTATGGTCTCTATTTATTTGCTTAGCTGTTTGTAGATTTTCAATAAATGTTACAAAGCTTTCATACACAAAATATCAATTTTTTTTAAAGTAAGTATTAAGATTTTTTAATCAAAGATTTGCTCCTGAATATTTTTTTTCAGAATGTTGGCTATCCTACATGCAAAGTAGTTTTCATTTTAAGATTGAAAATACTTTTCTTTATCTGAAAATTGTCAAATCTCATTTTCATAATTCTTATAACCTCCTGAATAATTATCAAACGTTTTTTAGAAAAACTTTATATTTTATCTGTTATTTTTTCTACCTTAACTCTGTACGGGGTTGGTTGACTTGACTGACCTAGTAACCACCATAAAAAAGTAGGATATAATAAATCTCAAACACCATTTTTTGTTCTAAAATCACTGTAGATTGTAACAGGAAATAATAACCACAAATATTTTTTCTAAATCTCATAACAGTGTACATCTAATTATCTATTTACCTATATCTAAGTAATAATACTGCCACACAAGTTTTATACCACGGTGCATGTTATATCAAATGACATCAAACTGGCTTTTACAAAGTACAAATGTCTTTGTCGTAGTACTAGCACATCAGTATTTTGTAAAATACAATCGGAATTTGGTTACAATACATTACATATGTTTATATATTATTACTGTTTACAAATAAATTGTTATCAGTTATTTCTCTTAAAACACAGGAAATAAAATATAAAGAACAATGATCTCTACCACTTACAATGTTACGAAGTCTCTTTGTACTTACATGTTGTGCTTGTTAATTAAGCCTCGCCAAGTTTTGCACATAGAGGATGTAAAAAATAATAATTTTTGTAGGTTTTCTATATGCATTTTACAATGAAAAATTATAGATTACCATATCGATACCACAAAATTCCATGTAATTTATCAAGCTTCCTAACTGAGCTGTGTTTGTGTCTAAAAAATGTCATTTCCAATCATCATATCACCTTGTCACCACTGTTTAAACTTGCAACAGTAATAATGTCTTTACCCACACAAGTACTTTAGGAAAACTGATGAACTTATGTAACTCAAAATGAGTGCTTTCGATTGGTAATAAACACATATTTGACAGAAGTGGCCGTAGGTAAACAAGTATTTCCAAAAGAGGAATGGGTGGGCAAAGCCACTGTGGTGGGTTTGCTAAATATAATGATATCTCGGCACACAGAAAAGTAGGAGTTTCTTATTTTTATAATCTAGCTTGTCAATATTGGTAATTTTAGTTTCTAATTCGTAAGAAACTATAGATATTGTATTGTTCTTGTCATAAAATCTAATCTGACCGAAAGCAGAAGACAACATACCACATGACACACAAAAATTAATATTGAACTATATTTTTCAATAATAACTTCTAAATTAAGAAATCAAATAATATATATATTACTAAAATTTGAATTATGAACTACAATCTAATGCCAAATGTATTGACAAATGTTCATAAAATAGTAGTTTAATAGAATTTTGAAAGTAAGTCTACGAACATGATAACATGCCTTCTGACCCCTACCCAAACAGAAAGGGTTAAAGTCCCTGGTATGGCTATACTCTCAGAGCGAAGGTAGCACCACTCTTGTCATATTTATTTACAAAAATTAGACTAGTAGGTGAAATTGTTTGAAATTTGACAAAAACATACCTAAAAGTATGTAGTTTCAGAAAAATAAAATATTTAATTTTGTTTTTTTCTACTATTTCTAATAAAAAATTCGTTATTTTAATGTAGTTATTTGCACTCGCACTCTGAATATTTCATCTGCAAAGTGATTTTCAGTTTGAGTATAAAAATACTATTTATTATCTTACATTTTTCACATTTCCTTTGCATAATCTCTAAAATCTCTGAAATGAATATCAAAGTTTTTAAAGGTAAATGTTTACATTTTCTCTACTATATCACTAACTCTAGTTATTATCATCAACATACAGTGCAATGAAATGTTTAAAATTAAGAAATGGAAATATGTACTTACCTTTGTAGAATAGTCTTCATATATCTTCTATGAGTCATGTCTATGTGTAATTTCACATCTCTACTTTTTTCACTTATAGT